AAGACATTTCTTAGCCACTCCACATTTCAAGATGAAGCTCATGCATATACATTAGGCCAACTCTTTTGCTTAAACACTTGGCTGAGATTGTTAAGGGACTTTCTCAGTCCTTTTGGCCCCGATTGCTGCGCTAAGGTTCTTAAATATTACATGCTCATTAGTGCATGTAAGTGCACGCTTTTCACCCCAGAACACTCGGGATCTTTACGTCATCTTTCTGCCTCAGCTGCTCTTTCATCTGGATCATGGAACGTTGCAGGGTTAACACGGTGTTGCTGGCTTTGCTTCAGGAAGCTCCTTGATTACATTGATCGACACATCCACAAGGTGTTTCCAAGCACAAGCACTCACAGAACATTTGCTATGGAAGATGGTAATTTGGAGAACTGCCTTTTCCCTTTCACACTGATATGCCATGTGTATCTGTACAGCTTCCCACTGTGAGAGCCTCATTCAGGTGTGGCTCTGGGCCGGCCCTGTGGACTGCGGGATCTGGAGCAGGACTGTAGCTAACTGGGCAGTTACCCTGGGTGGCTGGAATCGGCTGTTTCTGAAAGGCAGATTATATAAGTAGCACTCTCAGACCCAGGGGATAAGTGTGGGGCTAAAAAGGGAAAGCTCAGACAAGATGAAGCCAGATGAACACAGGAATGGAGCAGGAAGCAAGGTCTTGTGTTGAGGAAAGGGGACTGCCAGCCCAGAGCTCTTTCGAAAAAAATGATTTGTGGGGTTGCTTGCTGCTATTTGGTATGTGGACTGGCTGAGACAAAACCAAACCAAACCAAAACCAAGATTTAGTAACACCTGAGTGGATGATTAGATAATCCTAAATTGCCAAAATGACTAACTACCTGCAAGCTTCCCAGGTGGGCTCAAAGCTACCTTGAAGCATGCGTTGCATTTGCCTTACAGAAAGGTGGAGTGTGTCAGCCCAGCGGTTACACGGAGTTTGAGTGTAATCGTTTTGTGGTCTCACTGTCTAATGATGGGCTTAACAAGCTATCTGTATATTGGAGTTTTATCTTTGATAATTTTCTGTGGTTCCATAGTCTAAATTTGGTGAGTTAATATTCTGAAACACTTTTGAACCAGAGCAACTGAACTCCAGTTTCTGATTCAAAATAGGTAATGTTTTCAGTTTAGATCATGAAATATTAGAACTGAGAGGGAGCTTTACTTCACGTCTTTTGACACCATCCTATAGCAGACTCTTTCTTCATTTATTTGTTTTCTTATTGCTTATTCTGTTGAGCATCTACTGTGTGACAAACACTACTCCTGACAAGAGCATATTCTGAAAAGAGATAAAATCTATTAGACTTAAGTTTCCCATAAGCAGCAGGTTTGTTAGATTTTTATCCTGTTGTGGATCTGTCTGTTTGCATACTTACAAACATGGAGCTTTTTTGACCATTCTTTTTTTTTTAAAAAATGGAGTCTCACTCTGTCGCCTAGGCTAGAGTGCAATGGCACAATCTCAGCTCACTGCAACTTCCACCTCCCAGGTTCAAGCAATTCTTGTGCCTCAGCCTCCCAAGTAGCTGGGGCTACAGGTGTGCACTACCACAGCCAGCTAATTTTTGTATTTTTAATAGAGACAGAATTTCAGCATGTTGGTCAGGCTGGTTTGGAACTCCTGCCCTCAAGTGATCTGCCCATCTCGGACTCCCAAAGTGCTGGGATTACAGGCATGAGCCACCGCGCCCGGCCTTTTTTGTTCATTCTTTTTCTTTGGAACTTTGGCTTTGGTGATTGCATGGTATCAGAAACAGATAAGAATCTCATTGAATAGTTATTTTTGCTCTTCATTAAGTCTTAGTGATTTAAGAAAGGTGACTGTAAGATGCCTATATTGACTTGCTGTCCTTACAGAGTGAATTTTTCTTTTCTTCTAGAATCATAGGTCCTAACTGGATTGCATATCCTTGATGAAGCTAGACCCCTTTTATGTTATAGAACTTTTATGGAAATATAAATAGATACATACTCAATTTTGCTGGTGTTTATTTTTTTACTTAACTAGGATAATTTAATCTTGCCTTGATTCTTCCACTTTTTTACATAGTAATTGTGTTTGATTATATTCAATTAAAACAATTTACTTCTTTTTTCATTTCCTTGGAAGAAAAATTACTTTTATCAATTTAAAACAAATCAGGAAATTCTAAGTGAAGATCACTCTGCTTCCATGAATTTTATATTTGTAGCAATTTATTCTTTTTTAAATAAAAAAGACTTTTATGAAACTGCTAATAATTATAACTTTGTTCAGTGTTACATGTTTCTTCAAATGTGGCTGCTTTCCAAATACCACAAATAGTTTATTTTACCTTTAAGAGATGTTTTAAATTGAATCATTGGTTAATTCTGAAAGTGATTCAAGCAGAATTTATAATCCTCTAAACTATGACTCTTTAAAACTTGCTAATTTAAAAAAGAAATCAAAGTTGGCTCTTTTCTCATAGTTTAAGAACTTGGCAATGAAAAGGAAACTGCAAGCATTTATTTCAACTGATTTTGAAACCGTGGTTTAGTCTTCAACTCTTTAACAAAACGGGGAATACCATATGTAACAGTCCAACATAAATTTTTTGCTTTTTGTGTCTTGAAAGTTTCCTGCCTCACTTTCTCTTTGGTGTGCTGGATATTTTTATTCAGTCGATAAATTGTAAATATCCTAGAATATTTTATATGAGACTTATTTAATCTATGAGATTGTATCCTTGCTATTTTACATGCCAGAGCATTTTGGCATTTGATTCACTTCTACCCTCAATAAACAGCTTAGGATAAAGTACTTCTGAGAATTGCTGAAGAGGGGTGGGTCTTGGCAATGATCAAACCCAGTGGGATAAGATTGTGTTAAATTGTGAATATTATATGCGTAACCAGGAGATTTGAGGAGTTCAGCAGTACTAATCATTGAACAACAGTGTTCATAAGTAACTGAAAGAATGTAATTGAAAGAGAAGCACAAAAAAGAGGATTGTGGAGAAAGATAAAAAGGAAAGGACATTTATTTGTTCAAGTAAATGAGAGGAGAATCTGCTGCATGGACAAAGCCTCAGTCCTTTCTTAAAATGTTGACTGCTACTTTGATTTACAATTCCTACCTTCCCTACTTTGCTGCATTTTTCCCTTTCAGCACCTCCCCCCCACCTTTTTTTTTTTAATAATTTTATTTTTTTTATACTTTAAGTTCTGGGATACATGTGCAGAATGTGCAGGCTTATTACATAGGTAAACACATGCCATGGTGGTTTGCTGCACCCATCAACCCACCATCTACATTAGGTATTTCTCCTAATGCTATCCCTCCCCCAGCCCCCACCCCCCAATAGGCCCTGGTGTGTGATATTCCCCTCTCTGTATCCATGTGTTCTCATTGTTCAACTCCCACTTATGAGTGAGAACATGCGGTGTTTGGTTTTCTGTTCCTGTGTTAGTTTGCTGAGAGTGATGGTTTCCAGCTTCATCCATGCCCTGCAAAGGACATGAACTCATTCTTTTTTATGGCTGCATAGTATTCTATCATGTATATGTGCCACATTTTCTTTATCTAGTCTCTCATTGATGGGCATTTGGTTGGTTCCAGTCTTTGCTATTGTGAATAGTGCTGCAATACATTTTATAATTTTATCTCATATCTCTCTTCTGATACCCTCCACCACTCCTGTTTCCTTTTGAGAACTGATGCTAAAGACAGTCTATTCTAGTGGTTCTCTACTAGAAGCAGTTTTTCTCCCCTGCCGCAGAGACACTGGAAAATTTCTGAAAACAGTTTTGCTTGTCACAACTGGGGAGAAGGGCACTACTATTAACCAAAGGGTGAAGTCAGAAATGTTGTGAAATGACCTACAGTGCAGAGGAGAGCACCCACAACAAAACCCTAGTCTACCCATTTATTACCTCTTTTTTTTCTCCCGAGAAGTCACCACTATCAGGAAGTTGGGGTGAATTATCTCCCTGGAAGTTTTCTTTTTTTTTTTTTTTCCAGGTCAATATTTATTCATTCTGATGAATTCTGTCACACATATTTAGCATTAAACAGAAGCAAATTGTAAACCACCAAATATTGGAAGAGAGGTATTTACTTTTCTTGGTTTTTCATTAAAACGGCAAGAATGCTATAAAGACTCCCTATTCACAATAGCAAAGACTTGGAATCAACCCAAATGTCCATCAGTGACAGACTGGATTGAGAAAATGTGGCACATATACACCACAGAATACTATGCAGCCATGAAAAAGGATGAGTTTGTGTCCTTTGTAGGGACATGGATGCAGCTGGAAACCATCATTCTCAGCAAACTATCACAAGAACAAAAAACCAAACACCACATGTTCTCACTCATAGGTGGGAACGGAACAATGAGATCACGTGGACTCGGGAAGGGGAACATCACACACCGGGGCCTATTATGGGGAGGGGGGAGGGGGGAGGGATTGCATTGGGAGTTATACCTGATGTAAAGGACGAGTTGATGGGTGCTGACGAGTTAATGGGTGCAGCACACCAACATGGCACAAGTATACATATGTAACAAACCTGCACGTTATGCACATGTACCCTAGAACTTAAAGTGTAATAATAATAATAAAAAAATGAAAGACATCAGACCACAGACAGCATTCTATGTCTTCTAATGGCCAAACCTTTTGAAACTAGTAAAACGTACAAATTTAAGGGAGCCTCCCCCCAACGTTTAAAAAACTAATTTGCTCTTTTCTGGGCTTTCCCCTGCAGCTATCTCCACAATAGATGATTGTCCCACACAGATGCAGTCCTGCCACGAAGGCTCTTGGCCTTCCCGGCTGCTCTGCCTGCCGCTCGCCAAGTGAGGACAGAGGGTCTTTCTCTGGGGTGTGCTTTATTTAATATGTGCTCAGCCGGCCTACTCTGGCTCTTCTAATACATATTAATGCCTTTTCCTCCCTGACTTATGAAGACATGATCATTTGATCATTTCTTGTTCTGAATGTGCTGTCTGTGTTGACAGAGAAAGAGATGACCTGATGTCTGCACTAGTTTCCGTAAGGAGCAGCTTGGCAGATACGCAGCAAAGAGAAGCAAGTGCTTACGAACAGGTGAAACAAGTTTTGCAAATATCTGAGGAAGCCAATTTTGAAAAAACCAAGGCAAGTCTAATAAGATGCAAATAAAAGCGTCTTTTGTTTTTTCTTTTTTCTTCTGAGTATTTATTTGGTTATTCTTCTGCAACTAAACTCTGTTTTTCAAACACACAAAGTGAATTATCAATCTGTTAATGTTGACTTTTCTGAATTAAACAAATTTGCTATTTGGAGAATTCTTATTCCTCTGCAAATACTGTTGTATCACTGTTCAGAGAATGTAGTACAGTATAATACTTTGAGAGACCTATATGCTTAATCTTTTTATTTGCTGATAATTTGCAATGCTGCAAAAATCTTAACACCCAGGCATTAGTTTATTTATGTTCATATATGATTAAAGACAAATGTTTTTCCTCAATAATTGGTAAGTTTTGAGAAAATCCAAATACACCAAAGATAATAATATGTACATATTTAGTAGCATTTCTTTCTTTCTTTTTTTTTTTTTGGAGATGGAGTCTTGCCTTGTCGCCCAGGCTGGAGTGCAATAGCATGATTTCCGTTCACAGCAACCTCTGCCTCCTGGGTTCAAGTGATTCTCCTGCCTCAGCCTCCCACGTAACTGGGATTACAGGCATGGGCCATCATGCCCAGCTAATTTTTGTATTTTTAGCTGAGATGGAGTTTCACTATGTTAGCCAGGCTGGTCTCGAACTCATGACCTCAGGTGATCTGCCCACCTCGTCCTCCCGAAGTGCTGAGATTACAGGCGTGAGCTACCACGCCTGGTCTTAGTAGCATCTTTGAGTCTGGACTTACTGTAAGGTAACTCAAACATACCTAAGGAGAATAACAGTTTATACTTAGTGATCAGATGGTGTTAAAGGCAGTTTGAAGAATAGGAGGTTACTGTTGATTCATTACTGTATTTGGGGGCCACACCGTAATCCGTTAAAGTTGCATGTATTTTCCCTAGACACACTAGCATACAATTCAAGTTCTTAATGGCCACATGTAGCGAATATTGGACAGTGCAGATATAGAGCATTTTCATTATCATGAAAAGTTTTGTTGGATAGCACTAGTCTAAACCATATACTAATCTCAGTGTTTTATTAAAATATTAGGGCTACATTACTGAGTATATGCCCAGAGGAATAGAAATCATTCTGCCACAAAGACACATGCACGTGAATGTTGATTGCAGCAACCTTCACAATAGCAAATGTAAACGATGGAATTGATGAAATCAACCTAAATTGACGGAATCAATCTAAATGTTCATCACTGACCGATTATATAAAGAAAATATGGAACATAGACACCATGGAATAGTATGTAGCCGTAAAAAGAATGAGATCAGATCTTTTGCAGGAACATGCATGGAGCCAGAAGCAATTATTCTTAGCAAACTAATGCAGGGACAGAAAGCCAAATACTACATATTCTTACTGATAAGTGGGAGCTAAATGATAAGAACTTAGGAGCACAAAGTAGGAAACCACAGATAGTGGCATCTCCTTGAAGATATAGGGTGGGGGGAGGGAGAGGAGCAGAAGAGATCACTACTGGGTACTGGGCTTAATACCTGGGTGATAAAATGATCTGTATAACAAACGCCTGTGACATGAGTTTACCTGTACAACAAACATGCACATGTACCCCCGAACCTGAAATAGAAGTTAAAACAAAATTAGGGCTATTCAATTCTGCATTAAGCCTCTTGTCAGCCATTGCTATGTCCATTTGTCTTTATACAGTTCATCCATAACTCTTCCCATTTGACCCTCATGCCTTCTGAAACTTAGATTCAGTTCTAACCAAACTCCCCACCATGTTGTTTCCTCAAACTCTCCTGTTTCTTCATTTGTTCTGAGCTCTAGCTGTCCCTCGATATCATGACTTTCAAAACCTTCCGCGAATGCCCTTGTGTCAGTCAAGTCATCTCATGTGAATGCGACGGAGGAAACCGCAGTTACTTCACTCCCGACTGCCATTTCCAGGGCTTTGTTTTGACACTTACTCTCAGGTCCTATTCCTCTTTGGAATTAAGCTACCACTCTGTGTTAATCTGTTTTGCATTGCTATGAAGAAAGAGTGGAAACTGGGTAATTTATAAAGAGAAGTAAGTGGTTTATTTTGGCTCATGTTGTGCAGGCTGCATACGAAGCATGGGACCAACATATGCTTCTGGTAAGGCCTCAGGAAGCTTTCACTCTGACAGCAGGCAGAGGGGAGCAAGCCTCACAAGGGAGCAGGACTGAGGGCAGAGGAGAGGGGCCAGGCTCTTTCTAACCATCAGACCTCAGGATAACTAATAGGGCACCAAGCCATTCATGATGGATCCACCCCCATAACCCAAACACCTCCCACCAGGCCCCACCTCCAACACTGGAAGTCACATTTCAACACGAGAGATTTGGAGCGGACAGGTATCCAAACCATATCACACTCCTCTTTGAAATCAGTGTTGTCTCTCTTCTCCCTAATCAATAAAATTTCTCAATCGAGAAGGTGCTCTTTGACCCTTTCTATTTTATTTTAGTTTTATTTTTATTATCGTTTTTTTGAGACAGAGTTTCATTCCAGCCTAGGCTGGAGTGCAATGGCACCATCTCGGCTCACTGTAACCTCAGTCTCCTGGGATCAAGTGATTCTCCCACCTCAGCCTCCCAAGTAGCTGGGACTACAGGCATGCACCACCATGCCCGGCTAATTTTGTATTTTTAGTAGAGACGAGGTTTCACCATGTTGGCCAGGCTGGTCTCGAACTCCTGAGCTCAGGTGATGCACCCACCTCGGCCTCCCAAAGTGCTGGGACTACAGGCGTGAGCCACTGCGCCTGGCCCCTTTTTAAAAGTTTTAACATCTGACCCTTTTCCTCTTCATTCTGTCTCTTTTGTTGTCCTTAAATGTTTGAATTTCCATGTTGTTGATACACAAAACACTAATACTCTTCAGCTTCCTTAACTCTACTACATCCCCTACTTCTACGCCAACCTCCCGCATGAACTGAAGTGCCCCTAAGATCTCAAACTCTGAAACCACACTCTCTGACTAGAGCCTTCCCTCTTCTTTCCTCCCTGTCAAAGTTAAATCTGCTGCATGTCTTCATCTTCGCCTCTAGTTCTTCAGCATTCTTTTTATCTCTCATTTTATCTGTTGTGTCCAGGCTGGTCTTCTTTTCTTCCCATTTAAATATAAATTTTACAATCTCAAATTGAATTCACATAGTCACTCTCCCAAATCTGCTGCCCCTTCTGTATTCTCTTACTGGATGGCACTTTTATCCACTAACATGCTCTGATCAGAAAACTGGATTTCACCCTGTCCTTCACCCGTAACTTTTAACCAGTCACTAAGTACAGGTCTGAGTTTCTAACGTTTTCTTGAATTCTTTCCCTCATTAACACTTTTCCTATGGAAGCTGAGTACTCTCTGGATTTATCTACTACACTTCCTCCTAGCTTGCCTCCCTCCTTCGTTCCACTCCCTGCACTGCAGCCAGAAGCGATCTTTCTTAAACACACATTTGATCGTGTGACTCTGATTTAAAATCCTTCGGTGAATTTTCACTGCCTTCAAGACAGTCTCCACATTCTTTCCCATGCCCGTGGTCTGTCATAATGTGGCTCCCTTTTGTCCTCCAAGGCTGCTGCTGCTTTCCTCCTCTCACACCCTGTCCCCCAGTACACTCAGCTGTCGTCAAAGCCAGGAGCGTTTAGGGAGTGAACATGGGCTTACTAGAGTTAGCCAGACCTAGATTCAACTTGTGGCCCCACCATTCACTCGCTATGTGACCTTGGACAAGTTACTTTAACTTCTCCGTGCCCCAGTCTTTCCTCATCTGTAAAACGGAGAAATATGTGACTTGTAGGATTGTGAATGAGGACTGCATTTTAAAAATGTACGTTGGTTATCTTATACAAACCCAGGCAGGCACAAAATATTTTCTCAATAAATAGTGGTAGTGGTGAGAACCCTGCTGATTATCCCATCCTCTCTCCAGCCTCTGAGTCTTTGTATGTGCCATACACATTCTTCTCCACTCCACTGCCTGTATATTTCTCTAGCCTTACCTGTCTTAGCCCACATGGTACTCCCTCTAGGAAACCACTGATCTCCCCTGCCTGGATTTGATGTACCCCTAATACACCTTTATAGCAGGGGTTTTCAACCTTGGCGCTATTGACATTTTGGGCTACGTACCTCTTTGTTTTGGATGCTGTTCTCCACATTGTAGGATGTTTAGAAGCATTCCTGGCCTCTACCTGCTCAATTCCAGTAACTTACCCTCCTCCCCCAAGTTGTGACAACCGAAAATGTCTCCAGACATTGCCAAATGTCCTTTGGAGGGCAAATTTGCACCCATTTGAGAACCACTACTTATTAGAGCATTTATCAAAATGTATTATTATTGCTTATTTGTCCGTATCCTTCATTAAACTTTTTAAAAAAAAATTCAGCTTTTATTTTCGATACAGGGGTACGTGTGTAGGATTGTTACATGGTGGACCCAGGTATTGAGCATAGTGCCCAGTAGGTACTTTTCCAGCCCATGCCCCCCTCTCTCCAACCCCAAGTTGTCTGCAGTGTCTGTTGCTCCCATGCTTATGTCCGTGTGTGCACAACGTTTAGCTCCCATTTATAAATGAGAGCATATGGTGTTTGGTTTTCTGTTACTGCATTAATTTGCTTAGGATTATGGCTTCCAGCTACATCCATGTCACTGCAAAGCACATGATTTCATTCTTTTTTATGGATGTATACATTCCCTGGTATATATGTACCATGTTTTCTTTATCCAGCCTGCCATTGATTGATCAACCTAGATTGATTCCATGCCTTTTTTTTTTTTTTTTTTTGAGACGAGATCTTGCTCTGTCGCGCAAGCTAGAGTGCAGTGGTGTGATCTTGGTTAACTGTATCCTCCGCCTCCAGGATTCAAGTGATTCTTCTGTCTCAGCCTCCCGAGTAGCTGGGATTACAGGTGTGCACCATCACGCCAGGCTGATTTCTGTATTTTTAGTGAAGACGAGGTTTTGCCATGTTGGCCAGGCTGG